GACAGAGCTGGGAAGAGGAAGACAGACTAGCAGGCTCACCAACTCCAGTGGTGGCCGAGCAGCCGACCCCGAGGGCCCTGGGCACAGGGAGCGGCCAATGAGAAGCCGAGAAAGAAGGGGGCGGGCGCTTCCGCTTCAGGCGAATGGGCGGCCCTTTCTGGGCCTCAGTTTCCTCCACTTACATGGGAATGGGATCTGCCTCATGGAGGGTCACAAAGATAAAATGACCCTTTTTAGCACAGTACCCTTCCCAGAGTGGGTACTCAGTAAACACCAGTTACTTCGATACCCCCCAGTGCCCACTCCTGGGGTAAGTGTTTATTGGGCCACTGCACCGCAGGTATCACCAGGCATGGCCTGGACAGAGGGTCCTCTCCCAGTTTGCTCCAGACATGATAGTGGGCTCTGGGCCTCGGGGTTCCCTGAAAATGGAGAGGATGTGCCCTCTGTACCGTCCCCATAGGGCCATGGGGTAGGACAGCCACAGATAGGCTCATACAGCTCTCTCCCTCCAACCACTCCTCACCCCAGTCTTTAAGACTCTCACTTACCAGCCCTCATGGGAAGCCCCAGCTTCAGGGCCCCGTGACGCAGAGCGTAGGACAAAGCCTTGGACAGTTGCACATCTCGGTCCTGTAAGAGCCCAGAGGTGGCCCCTGGTCCCTGTAGTGCTCCTGCCCTGCTGCCCACCCTGAAGTCTGAGTGACCCACTGCAGAGGGAGACCAGAGGGAGAGGAATCCCTGTGCTCTCTGGGAAGAGAATGACCCATCAGCGCCCACTCCCATCCCCCCAGCATATTCCAGGGAGCTGAGTCCTCCTCCTTTACCCTCCCACCAAGAAAGGGGGTGGGGTGGGGTGGTGAGGGTGGAGGGGGCGCACCTGTTCCCGGGGTCTGTGAGCCCTTCTACCCCTGGGTCCTGCAGCTTCCTGCCTCCTTCCTCCAGGGGAGTTCATGGCTAAGACCTGCTGGGTACAGTGATAATGTGGGGACTGTTAAGGACCCTTTCATGTCCCCACCCTGCCCAGAAAGTCACAAAGCCTCGGGATGTGAGAGCTGGGACAGGGGCATTCAGCTCATTAAATTCACTTCCCACCCCCAACTCCCTCCTGCAAATAGGGAAACTGAGGCCCGGCAAGCAAGATTTGCCCAAGGTCACACTATGTCCGCCACGGATCCCGGGCGAAAAGGAACCGCCGCGCTCCAGGCTCGCGGGTCTGCCCCGCAAAGCGGGCCTGAGGAGGGGGCCGGGCGTTCAGGCTAACGGGGCGGAAGCTTCTGAGCAGGCCCAGACAGAGCTAGGAGGAGGAAGACAGAGACTAGCAGGCTCACCAACTCCGGTGGCGGCCGAGCTGCCGACCCCGAGGGCCCCGGGCCAGGGAGCGGCCAATGAGAAGCCGAGGAAGAAGGGGGCGGGCACTTCCGCTTCAGGCGAAGGGGAGGAGCCTGCGGGCCGCGTCGGCCGGTGGGTGCCGGCTGGACCTTTGAGCTTCCGGACCCCGGAAGGGGTCCTGGCGCATCAGAGGTTGAAGGCAGGATCCTGGGTTTGGGAGAAATGGGCATAAAGGGGTGGCTGGACCCAGGACCGCGGGGTGGTTGTGATGCGCGTGAGTCCCAGGGATGTCTGGCTGCAGGGACCTCCGGGCTCTTAGGATAAGACACTTTACTGCCCAGGGAGTGGTCAAGGGGGTACAGAAGGGCTGGGGGTACACCTCGGGAGGTCTGTGGCAGAGGGGGCCAGCTGCCGGGGCCAAGGGTCGCTGTGGGGCTCTCAGGGTGACAAGCCCGGCTGTGTCCTCCCCCCAGAGCTGCCCCGTCCAGACTATGGACCCTGAAGTGTCCCTGCTGCTGCAGTGCCCCCCAGGTGGGCTGCCGGAGGAGCAGGTGCAGGCTGAGCTGAGCCCAGACTATGACCGTCGCCCACTACCAGGAGGGGACAAGGCCATCGCTGCCATCTGGGAGAGCCGGCTGCAGGCTCAGCCCTGGCTCTTTGACGCCCCCAAGTTCCGCCTGCACTCAGCCATCCTGGCACCCACTGGCTCACAGGGGCCACAGCTGCTCCTGCGCCTGGGCCTTACTTCCTACCGAGACTTCCTGGGCACTAACTGGGCCAGCTCAGCTGCCTGGCTGCGACAGCAGGGGGCCACTGACTGGGGTGACAAGCAGGCCTACCTGGCAGACCCGCTGGGGGTTGGCGCCACACTGGCCACTGCAGATAACTTCCTTGTCTTCCTGCGCCGCTCTCGGCAGGTGGCTGAGGCACCTGGACTGGTGGACGTGCCTGGTGGGCACCCTGAGCCTCAGGTGAGATGCCGGCCTGGGTGCAAAGGCACAAAGACTCAGTTCAGCTTTGTTTTCTTCATCCCTTAAAGGGGGGATTGGCCTAGTGCTTCTCTGAAAGTCTGCTCAGGGCAGCACCTCAGCCTCCCCACTGACCCTTATCCCAGGCCTGTGGGAAGCTAGGGAATGATGGGGAGGGGTGGGGGCTGGGGGGCAGAGGACCTAGCTGGATTTCTGGTTTTCCATCTGGAAAAGGTGGGCCTGGGTCGGGGGGTCACCAAGACTCAACTCTGTGCCTAACCAGGCCCTCAGGGCCAGCAAATATGTGGGGAGGCAGGCTGGGAAGAGATGGGGATAGGGGCTGAGCCTGACCTCTCCCAGGCCCTGTGCCCTGGTGACAGCCCCCTGCACAAAGACCTCCCTGGGGAGCTGGTGGTGCACGAACTCTTCTCCAGTGTTCTCCAGGAGATCTGTGACGAGGTGAGTGAGGAGGGGTGGCCCCAACAGGTGGGCAAGAAGGGAGGGGGTAGAACATACCAGAATTCCACAGGTGTGGGCTGGCGGGAGGGTCTGCAGGCATCTGGCATTGAGGAAAGAGCTGGGCTTTGCAGCTAGACACGAGTGGAATTCTAGCCCTTGTTTCTGCGTGCCTCAAGCTCTTCCCCTTTACAAGGAGAACAACGATAAATGTCTTGCGTATTTCCACCCACCGCCCCTTTTGTTGATGAGAGGAGGAAATGAGAGTCCCAGTCACAATGAACTTGCCTTGGGTGACCTTGAGCCGTTGGTTGTTCAATATCTCAGGTTCTGCTTTCCCATCTGTAACATGAACATGCCCGGGCTCTGACATTCTGTGATTCTGGGCACTTGAACTGCAAGCTGTAAAATGCTGTACAAGGGTAACGTTCTCCCTTGAGAGGGGCAGGGATGGGGACACTGGGCACTGACTGGTGGACCCCCTGCCCCAGGTGAATGTGCCGCTGCACACCCTGAGCCAGCCACGGCTATTGGGCATTGCCCGCAATGAGACCAGTGCCGGCCGTGCCAGTGCCGAGTTCTACGTCCAGTGAGTGAGCTCTGGGGTGCAGGGTCCTGGGTCCTCGGGTAGGTGGGTGGCTGAGGGGAATGGCTGAGGCAGCTGGGGTTCCACAAGGACCCGCCAGGGACTGGGCACTCCCCAAGCCTCTCATGTCCTTGTGCAGGTGCAGCCTGACTTCTGAGCAGGTGAAGAAGCACTACGTAAGTGGGGGAGCTGAGGCCCACGAATCTACAGGAATCATCTTTGTGGAAACACAGGTGTGAAGAAGCAAGATGTATCTTGCTTGGACAAGCTGCTGGTGTTGGGGCTTGTGTAGGCCTGGTGATCTATGGCTGTCTCCCCGGGGCTGGGTCAGATGAAGCCGCCAAATCTTAGAGCTTTCCTCCAGGGCCACAAGACTTCACTGGGGATGCCCTCAGCCCAAGAGAGGTCCAGGAACCTCTATAGCCTCCTTAACGTGTCTCCCTAGGGACGGTGAAGTGCAGAGGGTTCTGAGGCTCAGGAACACTGGGCACGGCCCCTGCAAGAGACCCGAGGGCTGGACGTAAGGGAGTCTTACTTTCTCCCCACAGAGCGTGCGGAGGTTGCAGGAGACCGAAATGTGGGCTGAGCTCTGCCCCTCGGCCAAAGGCGCTATTTTCCTCTACAACCAGGTCCAGGAAGTCCCACCTGAGTCGCCCTAGTCCCCAGCCCTATCACAACTTGAAAGACAATAAAGGACTTTATTCTTGGATTCCATCGGCATCTGCTGTTTTCATGAGACAGGGAACGGGCGCTGGGAGAGATCTGGGTGTGCGAGAGAGACGGGGCGAGTGTCCTGGGGGGAAAAACAAAGAAACCCAGCCTCAGTTTTTGCCGTCTGCAAACTGAGATGAGGGCCGTGCCTCCTTGCCCAGGCTGTGGTGAGGGTCCGGGTCTCCTACAGCTGCTTTATAAAGGACACCTCGCTGCAGAGCAGAGTAACAGGTATGTTCCCGGGACGAAGCCACAAAAGCGGGGCGGACAGCCTCACTGAGGACTGCAACGCCGGCGTCTTTCCGCAAGTCCGCGGG